CAGCAGGGGGATGTCTGTAAAGGGTGTGTAGCCAGCATTAGGCTACTTGGGATCAGGTACGTCATGGTGTGTCGTTGAGATCCTAGAAAGCAAAGGTGTTTGAGAAAATTTCAGTCTTAGAAGTCACCTTTGAGTCTGTTTTAGCTGACTGAGGAAGAAAACCATATTAATTATGTAGGCAGCAACAGTTTGTCTGTAAAAGGAAACTAGTTGTTAATTAAGAGCTGGAAGATGGTGATCAGCATGTTGATTTAACCTGTGGAAGTAGATTTAGATGACTTTCAAACCTTGAAGAAATTTTAAAAGTTGAAAAAAAATGTTGAGAATATATCATGAGTGAAAAGGAGACATCTAAACAAAAAGCAAAAAATTTTGGGTTGAAAAGCACAAACACTGTTGTTTTAGGCATTCCTGTTAGGGGAAAAGGCATTAATGGCAGATTTAGAAGTAGTGGAGGAAAGGCCTGTCCTGCCATGTGGTGGTTTGGGCTACCATGTGGTGGCTGGGTATTCTAGCAGAGAGGCCAAGGAATTCCTCCTGTTGTTTTTTCTTAGGGAAAAGAAAGGCTAACTTTGAGGAAAAGTTTAAAGCGAAAAACAAAGAAGTTTGGTAACAGAGTCAGAAGGAGTGAAAGGCTGTGTGAGACTGAGCTATGGCAGGGAGACACCTAGAGGCTAGCACCTAGAGTCAGCAGCTCGATGGGGGTGGACAGGCAGCAGCAGTTTTTCTAGGCTCAGCCTGGAGTTTTTAGTTGTGAGAAAGAAACTGTAAGGTAAACAGAGGCAAAGGGGTGTAGACTGAGTCTCAGACCCTCTGTTATCAGGCAAGCCAGCTGGGCTATAGGGGCTGCAAATGACTTAGAAGGTGAAGTGGGGGAGGGGGCAAACAGGGAGCCAGCCCTGTTGTTACAGGCGATTCAGCTGGGCTGTAACCAGCCGGCCGCAAATGGCAGAGGAGTGGGGGAATTTTAGCGTGAAAAGTTAACCCCTGGGGGAGGGACAAATCTCTTGGCAGGCAGAGCTTGGGAGATTTTTGGGGGGAGGGGTAAAGAATGGAGATTAAGGAGTCTCTGCCGTTTTGTAGCGAACACGTGGAGAAGAGGGAGAGAGAGACCTAGTCTTTTGAGCCAGGCAGGAGCTAGTGGTAGTTAAGATTCAGAGAGAAAACACTGGCCCAAAACATGTGGAGAGAGAAAGAGGGAGAAAGGATAGAGAGTTGCCAGTCTTAGGGACTAGGCTGGAGTTACTCACGGTTCCATGGAGAGGGTCTTGGCGGACGCCAGCGGGGGATACTCTTGGAGCTGGCTTTGTCTGACTCCTCTACCACCTGTAGGGAACGATGTAGGCCCATGCGGGCGTGAATCTCTGTTGTGTTGTGTGTCCGTGTGTCTGCCATGACGCAGTAGGCCAGCATGGCAGGAACACACGGGATCTTGGCTGAGTTTATTCTCTGTAACACCAGGTGAGCATGGTGGGGCCCCGCCCAGCATGGGGAATTTTCACTCAGGTTCCACGGGGGTGTTGAGCTCTTGGACTGGGGATCTCCGGGCCAGAAGTTGGCCGGAGACGGACTGGTCTAGAGTCCTTTGTTCTCAGGACTGAGACAGGGGCATGTGGGCTCACGTCAGACAACCCACTGCCGAGAAAATGAAAGGGATTGGGAATCCCTGTACTCTGAGGCAGCCAGGGACCGATTGGTCTCAAGCCCTTGGCTCGTAGGACCGAGACGGGGGCATGTGGGCTCACGTCGGACAGCCCACAACCGAGAAAAGGAGAGGGATAGGGGAAGAAGAAAGAGGCCCTAGCAGCACCCATAGGAGAGACTGTACTTGCTTAGCAGACTTGGTGGCCTGGCCACCTTGCTTGAAGATGTGGATCCTCATGGCTGGAACACAGAGATCCTCCAAGTGAGAGATTAAGCAGCTGTAGCTTTAGTCAGCATGGGAGAAGTGTGGAATCTTCACTGAGTCGATTCATCACAGCACCGGACAAGCAGGGCGGGAAGCTCGGCTGCGTTCTGTAGCAGACTGGGGTGGCCCGGTCCTTGAAGTCCGTGGGTGTCTGTGCCCCACGTTGGATGCGCCAAAATGTGGTGAAAATTTGGAGGCCACCACAGCGGTGGGGCCCCAGAGGGGCTTCCACCGCTGTGGCGGGTCCCACATTCCGGAGGAATCTTATGGTTCCAGTGGCCTGGAGGCCTTGGCGGCAGCAGGCCCCAATAACACGAGGAAGTCCTTGGTTCCAAAAAGGTTTATTGTCATGGCGGATGATAGATGGATCTAGGCATACCCCCGAGAACTCAGGGCAGTCCCGAGTTATATAGAGAGGGAGAAAGGGGGAGGGTTGGGGGAGGATCTGGGGGAGGCATGTTTAATTTGCTCTGCCATCTGGCCTTCATTAGTATGTAAATCCCTAGGGCCTGAGGCCTATAGCCTGGCCTATGTAATTCTATGGAGACTGTGACTGCTTTTCAGGATCCTGGGTTCTGGGGGGGTGCCAAACTCCTGCTGGTTCTCACGCAGAATCCCATCCAGAATCTGCAGAGTCTCGGGGTTCTAGGCACCTGCTCCACTATGACCCAGGATACCCTTACGCAGTCCCACAAGAAGGTATCATTTCAGTTGTTGGAAAGACACAGATAATAAAAATCTAAACAAAAACAAAGAATCAAAAAACTCAGCAGGTATTATTTCTAGCATCATCTATGGGCAAGTTTTAGCAGAGTAAGCATCCTAATTTACCAGCACATCACATGCCAAGATAAATTAGAATGTCGTAGGCATTTGCTGAGAACCTTTCAGTCATGCCCCTGGAGTGAACCAGGAAACATGTAAGCCTTTGCATTGTGGACATATGCTTGAGGTCATATCATATGAGGTAAGGTCTGAATCTCAAACTTATGGAATATTACGAATTCATATTTTGTTAGTTGATGTTTGGAGGTTAAAATTTATTAGAAATTAAGATATTCTTCAAGTAAAATTTCCTTTTATGAACTTCAGATAAAGTTTGTAGACCAACCTATCCCAAATGAGTTCTATAAAGCTTTGGTCCATGGGGAGATCTCTTAAGTCAGAAAAGATTGTCCCCATCCTGAATATAACGTCTGTTTAGATATTTACAGTGCAAGTTAGCAAAGAGATTCTGATGGTTTTGAGTTAAAGAATTCTATTACCAGAGTCTCCATGGGGTTTTGGGACATTTATTTTCCCAGCCAGCTTTTGGTATTGTTAGGAACGCATTTGGGAAAGATTTAGTTTTATTTGCAGAAAATGAATTCATGCTCATTAAATTCCTTTTAACTCTCAAATGCACTGATTTTTATTAGCATTCAGTTTCATGTATTTCATTTGTAATCCTTGTGTTTATTGTTGTCAAAATATGTATCTTGACAATGTCTTATTTTACCCTTGAAAAATCAGATTTCTGAGGTTCAATATTATAGATATGATGGGAGAAGGAGTCAGAAGATATTGGCCAATATTATAAAGTTTAAATTAAGAATGCATTCAAGAGAATGTCATTGTGACTGTAGTTTAAAATGATGTATTATTGGAAAATGGAAATAATAGGTTTTAAGTGTTCTCCCCACATAATGACAACAGTATGAGGTAAGGCTTCTACAGTCCAGCTTGATTTACCCATTCTACAATACATTTCAGATCATCATGCTGTATATGGTTAGTGTGTGCATTTAATCTGTCAGTTTGAAATATTTTTAAAGACTGTAGCATATTATTTGTTTGAAATATAGTTTGAAATTATATACCCCCATGTTAATAAACCCATTTTTTTAATAAACTACCTGTATTTGCACATTCATGACTTGCAAGTGTATACAGACACATGGACTGATAGAACGGTGATATTATATGGATAATTCAAATGTATTTTGTTGTGTCAGTGTTTACAGTTTTCACTGTGGTGGTGGTGGTGATGGTGGTGGTCATGGTGAATATTCTTGCACATAAGAATGGCCAGGTGGCTTTGGCTTTGTTATCAATTTCTAGAAATATTATTCTCTCTCAAAAAGCTTTTTGAATCCTTAGCTTTTCATTTTGTGGTGATGAAGGGCTGAATCACATACTGGGGACGTGCTGTACCACTGAGCCATTCTCTGTCTTTGAATGGGCAGCTATTGTCTGAAACTATGACACTGAGCCTCTGCATGAGCATATCAGTATCTACATTCCAGTAAGATGTTGGATTCTAGTCTTAGCTGACATTATTTTCCCTAAATGAATGTCTTAGTTGCTTTTCAGTTGCTATAACAAAACACCTTGGCCAAAGCAACCTATAAAAGAAAATATTTAATTTAGGGCTCATGGTTCCATGCTGGGGAGCCTGGCAGCAGTCAGGCAGGTGTGACACTGGAGCAGTAGCTTAAAACCTATACCTTGAGATACAACAAGGCAGAGAAAGCTGAGTATAAAAACCTCAAAGCCTGTTTCCACATATCTCCTACTCCTTCCCAAATAGTTCTTCAACTGGAAACCAATTATTCAAACATATGAGCCTGTGGGGGCCATTCTCATTCAAACCACTACATTGGGAAACCTGTGGTTTGTTATGTCTCCAAAGTACTGTCCAATGTATTGTTTTACATTTAACCATGAAATTACTAGGACCTTTAAGATGTTTTATGACTAGGAAGAAATAGTTATTATTGATTATGTTTATAACACATGAAATTGTTAGCAATTTAAAGCTTTATTTTTTATTAAACCTAACATGTAAGTATTTAATTTATAACTCAAGTACCAATTTAGTTGAGAATATCAGTGGCTTTGACATTGTATTCTAATTCAGTCTGACATAGAAATAAAATTATGCTAGGCTTTGTTAGAAAATAGCTCAGAGAGCAAACTTGTGAAGATATTTTAAAATTTCTGCATTATCTCATATTTAATTTCTACTATATTCAGTTAGACTTTAGAAAGGGTTTTCAGATGCTATGGAAGGATGCAAATAACTTCACTGCTTTGTTCTCTTTGCCTGAAGGAAGAAGACAATGGTCCCATGGAGTCCTTTGATGAAGAGTGGGAACTCTTGAGTGGCAGCTTCCTTTTAACCCTCAAGCCTGCATTATCTTCAGTTACTGCAGCTTTGATGGATATCTGTGACCATTGTCTGTAAACATGCTGTTATGAAATATTAGAAATGGCTGTTCATTGTAAAGAAAATCAGTGTGTATGCACACACCACAGCTTCTAGAATTCATACTTTTGCACATACTGCTTGTTGCTTATGTGTAGAAAGAATAAAAGTAGTTTTCAGACTTATTAATATGATTGTATCATATATGAAATAAGAAAAACACATTCCCAGAACCAAGTCGTCCATTTTTTTCTGTCTGTATTAGAAAATATGCTCACTAGTGTATTTCTTGGTAATAAAGAGTTTTGATCTACAACAGCTTAGAACATCAAAACACAATATGAAGGAGTCATAAAAATTATCTCGTTTTTTTTTCAATAATCGCACCAAATTAAATGTCAAACTGTTTTGTCATGGAAAAAAATTTCAAGTTAATGCAAAATACTTTCCATATTATTTTTAAAAAAAGAATTTAATTGACTCTAATATAGTTATGGCATATCTGAAAGTATGGCTTCTGTAGAGTTAAGAATAGAATAAAAGTAGATAGGAAGAAAGATGGGGACAGCATACCAGTAATAGCGTTTTCGTGATAGAAATACAAATCCATTAGTATACTCTGTTAATTTAGTATTGTACATTTTGTAAGTCTCCAAAATACTTTACAAATTGCACTTCTGTGGTGAGGAAAGATAAGGGTCAACCATACCCTGTTTTTTCAATTAAGCTCATCCTTAGTCATATCCTCGTTCAGTGTGACAGAATGGTGTAAAGTGGTAGAGATAATGGAAGAAATCAGAACTTCCCAAATAAATTTTATTGGCTGTTTTAATTGTTACGAAAAGAAACAACTTCAAAATAACAATCTCAATTTGGAGGGATTGTGTGCTGGTAGCTAGAATAAGCACCCATTCAGAGGTTTTAGATCTGTTGGGTAAAGGCCACATTAAGGGAAACAATAAAAATAAAAATCACAAGAGATCTCCCTTAAAACAGAAGCAAAAAAGATTATACATAGAGTCTTGGGCAGGAAGGAAAACTAGAGCCATGGTCACGAGGGAAATGGAGTACAGGAAGGGTCAGTATCCCTGGAACACAACAGAGCAGTCACACACAGGGCCTCTGATGAGAAAGAGGGGGCCTGGATCCTGCCTTTTTGAACTTTTATTATTTGCTGAAATGAAAATGTTAAAATGTAGGTTAAACAAACAAACAAACAAACAAACAAAAAATAAATCCTGCAATTGAAATCTTTACATCTTCCAAGCTAGCACTGTGAGATCCATGTTCAGCCGTGGCTATGGGGACATCATAGTTTATAGCTAATGGACTAGACTGAAAGGCCTTCATGGGTGGTAGTTAAATGGTTCTCCTAGTGCTACTTTGGTAGACCAGTGATTGAGACACAGTCATCTATGAGGGTCTAGGTCTCCACTCCTACAGAGCTGACCTGAACTTGGATTTTCATGTCTCATCCTTCCTATACTCTCCACCCGTCTTACTCTGAAATATATAAAGTGGAAAATGTAATAACAAAACTAATATAATTGTCTTCCAGAGTGATATCTAGCTGTCATAAGAATTTCATAAAGCAATCAAATTTGATTTCTGAGTTTTTTCTTAAATGACCATTTAAGATTAATATCCATGGCGAGTTTTGTAGAGGAAATTTAATCCAGCAACATGACTGCTCTGGAAAGAGATCACATCCAAATACTTTCTAGATCTGTGTGATCCAGCCAGAATGATATAATCCCTCTGGCTGGAATACAGATACGCCCTTAGTGCACACCCTTAATCCCTAACAATGTAGGTAATATTCGTTTGCAGAAGGAAGCAGCTGAAAGTGATGTCTAATAAAGGGGTAGACAAAGTTACAAATCAAAGAAAGATTTGACAGAATGAGTCAGAGATAGGATATGCCAAACTCTAAGGAGACCATTACTGGTGGGGGTGAGGGAAGTTCAGGGAGTACAGTTCAGTTGAGTTCAGGCAACACAGTGTTGTTCAACTGAGTGGAATTTGGTGCAGTTCAGTTGAATGCAGTTGAGTTCAGTTGAGTTTGTGAAGTTCTGTTCAGTTCCATTCAGTTCCTGCAGCAATACGGTTCAGTTTGTGGAACTCAAGAGTTAAGTTTATCCAAGCAGAGCAATTCAGTGAGAAGCCAAGAGGATCCAGTTTGAATTAGTCATCTTGGAGATGAGTTTGAGTCAGAACAGCTGGGTTGAATCAGCCAGCCAGACATCAGAAAGAACTAAAAAGGATGATTTTATTCAGCAGTAAGCCTCTGAGATGACAGTTACATCTGGCAAATAAAAGGTACTTTTACAGAGGCTTTATAGTCTTTATATTCTTTCTATCGCTTTGGTTCCCTTTTTTGAGAGAAATTTTCACTGTGTAGCTCTGGTGGTCTTGCCCATCTCTGTGTAGACCAGACTGGCCTTAACCTCACAGAGATCTGCCTGACTCTGTTGGAGTTGATATGTGCCACTAAGCCCAACCTGTATTTTTATGTATGAAAATCCCCCCAAGTGCTAATTGCAACTGATTCAGAATAGAAACATTAGTGTGTGTTTATATGAATGGATTTGAAAGTCTAATTCATCCATCAATAAAACTGTAAATAACCATTCTCAAATCTACATTACTTTGATGATGCCTGGGAAAGAAAATCCAAAGTTTTGCAATGGGATCCGAGCCTTCTGGAACAGAAGTAAGGGAAGCCATTAGGAATATATGGTGACTTCCACAAGTCTTGATATTTTTATGGTAAAGGCAACAAGCCGAAATACCCTTCCATATAAAAGTGTATCTGAGTTGTAGTCATCAATAATCTTAATGGTCTGTGAAGGGGATATTGTTCTTAGAAGGTTTGTCAGCCAAGACAATTTCAGTCTTTTTTACATGAGAAAAAGATGTGTGTGTTTGTATGTGTGTGGATATACACATGCCATAACATACAGATGCACGTGGAGGTCAGAGAACAACTTTCAGGAGTTGACTCTCTCTTTTTACCATGCAGGTCCTAGAGATAAGATCAAAAGTTGATTATCAGACTTGGCAGCAAGTGCCAGCACCCCTTGAAACATTTCCCTAGGAGTCTTTCCCTTTTGTTGTTATTCAGTCTATCCAAAGACAGTTCTGTTAAACCTTCTAAAGAACTGAAGTTGGATTTTGTTGTTTTTCTCAGTTGTGTTTCTGGTGTAGTTTGCATTTTCTTTCATTACTTGATGCTTACTCTGGATCTGAGCTCTGCTGTTTCCGTTATCTTAAGGGGTAAGATTAGGTTATTTCATCGATACTTTTATTTTAAATCAGGATATTTACAGTTGTAAGTTTTTCTTAAGCTATTCAGCAGTTGCCTATAGAGCTGCCTATAGATTTTAAAATGATACTTTTTAAAAAAGATTTATTTATTGTTTTATTTATATGAGTACACTGCAGCTGTCTTCAGCCACACACTAGAAGAGTGCATCGAATCACATTACAGATGGTTGTGAGCCACAATGTGGTTGCTGGGAATTGAACTCAGGACCTCTGGCAGAACAATCAGCGCTCTTAACCACTGATCCATCTCTCCGGCCCTTGAAATGATATTTTTAAACTTTCTTTCACTTCAATTTATTCTCCCCAATTTGCACTGTTATGTTGAATCCAATTGCCCTTAGATGTGTGTTGTTTAATTTGTACATATTTATGAGTTTCTAAGTTTTTCTATTCATTTATGACTTCACTTTTTGTGGTTAGGCAATATATTTAGTATGATCTGGATCTTTTACAAGTTACATAGGCTTTCTCATGGAGAATGGTATGGAAATGTTGACCACAGATGCTTGTTTTCCATTTGTATGGTGTGTTTTATAGATGCTTACTCATTCTAGTTGACTTACAGTTTTGGTTAAATCTTCTATAATTATTGTCAATATTCTGCTTATTATTGAAAGTAGATATTGAAGTCTTTAACTAGTATTGTTAAATTATTTATTCTTTTATTATTTTATTTGTGCATTTTAGATCTGTTGTTAAGGGTATACACATTTATAACTATCTAATTATTGTTAAATTGTTCCTATTTGAGTTTATATTATTAGTTGTTTGTTCTAGAAATATATATATATGTATATATATACACATATATGCATACATATATATCAGAAATTAGAATATATATATATTAATTACTGAGAATTAATTTTAGATTTATACCAACTTGAATATTATGATCTACTTAGTTAATCCAAAGTATAGCCCCATGGCTATTTTGTGATATATATATATATATATATATATATATATATATATATATATATTAATTTGTCATATGATCAAAGATAGTATCGTACATCATTTATAGATGTACCAACAATATATTTTAGAATTATTATCTGTATAATTTTGTACATACTAAAGAGAAAGTAAATACATATTCATAGAGTTTCTTAGTCTTATTTGTCAATCTCTTTATGTTCCTTTTATTCCAGGGATTCAAGGTACTGATTGTGTCACTTTCTCACTCTAGTTTTGCTTTGTTTCTTTGTGCCTTTGTGCTGTTATTGTCAAGAATGCTGTGTATGTGTGTGTTGTAGGTCTAATCATGCAATCCAGTATTGTCTTACATATTTGTCTTTTAAGTGATAATATAAGTAAGAAATACCCATTTAGTATTCTTTTACAGTGACTTAATTACATTTTCTGGTGCTTTCTTGTTGTTTTAATATATGTTCTGATCAGTGTCTGATAGCGTTAGGCTTCAGGCTAAGGATCTTCCATTGGCATTGCTTTGGGGCAAGACTACAGGAAGTTTGCATGGTTTTTGTTTAGGCATAAAGTCTTCATTTCATTATTATCTATGAAACTTGGTTTTGCTGGATATAATGTCTTCATTAATGTCTTTATCAAACAAGGAATGACCCTCTATCTTCTAGGCTCTACAGTTCTGGTGTGGTATTTTTAATTATATTTCTGTCTGAGTGACAGGTCCTTTTTCTATTACTGCTTTCTGAATTCTCCTCAACCTTCAGCATTCTTCCTGTGATGTTTTGGGGCATAAATCTACATATATGCTGCTTGGACTTGTTTGACTTCCTTGAAAAAAATATAAAATGGTTTTTTTGGTCAAACACCATAAACATTTTTCTCATAGATTTAGCACATCTAACCTTTTAGCGGCATGTCAAAGTAAACTAAAGGAAAAGGAGTTTATGCTCTCCTGCTCACAGTCAGGGCTCAGGACTGGAAGATTAGTCCTCATAAGCTTTTACAGGAGAGGGAAATGATTTGGGGGTCATATTTCAAATTAAATGTTCTCAATGTTTTAAGTTAGAAAATATTCTGGAGTAAACATTTCTGAATTTCATGTGTGTTCCTAGGACAGTTTCCACGTGTACACAGGAAATATGTGGACAAATGTACATATGTGGACTCAGAGATACAAAACCCTATCTAATATTTCAACCAAACATGGCATATCAAGTCATAGTAAAACTGAGTAGTTCCATTCATAAAGCTGGATGAGGCCACCCAGTAGGAGGAAAAGGGTCCTAGAAGCAGACATAGAGTCAGAGACAGCCCCCCACCCCGCTTCCACCATTAGGAGTCCCCAAAGCTGCAAGCTACACAACTGTAACATACGCAGAGGACCTGGGTCAGACCCATGCAGGCTCCAAGATTTCCTGTTCAGACTCTGTAAGCATCTATGAGCCCTGGTTAGTTGAGTCTATGTGCTATTTTCTTGTAGTGTTCTCGACCTCTCTGATTTCTACAATCCTTCCTCTTCCTCTTCCAAAGGATTCATCAAACTCCACCTAATGTTTGGCCATGGGACTCTGCATCTGTTTCCATCAGTTGCTGGATGGAGCCTCTCTGATGAGGATTATATAAGGCTCCTGTCTATAAGTATACCAGAATATCATTAGGAATCATTTCATTTACTCTTTTGCTATATTCGCTGGGTGTGTTTGGTTCTGTTCTTGGTTTCTGGACTATCTGGCCTCTGGTTCCTGGACATCAAGGCAGTGTCAAGTATGAGCTTCCTCTCATGACATGGGTCTCCAGCTGCTCCAGTCATTGGTTAGCCATTTCCACAATTCTAGTCCCATGTTTCACCTCCCCTGGTAGAGTACCGAAGCACCTCACTGCCTCAGTAAGGGCAGGGAAAAGTCCAGAACCAGTGGGGTCCACAACTCACCTCTTACCTCTGGGGAGTCAGACATTGCTGTATGCCAGAAGGAGGAGGGTGAAGCAGAATCTGGGATGAATAGGGTAGACAGGGCTCCAACCTGACCAGGAATGCCAGAAGTATTACAGTTCTTAGAAGGGAATAAAGAGATCCAGGTGTCCAGGGTCCTGGGTCCTGTAGCTGCTGCAGCAGTGACAAGGTCTGGAGCCAGTGATCTGATGAGAGGAGGTGTGTGGAGGGAGCCTGGCCAGGCAGATGGGTACAATGATGAGTGCTTCAAGTGAGAAAGTCCTCCTCAAGTGTTATAGCTTAGTAAAACCAGCCAGTCTCAGATGATTCTTGGTGAAATAACTTGTGTGCTTTGTTCCATGTGGAGAGACACTATACGAACCAATACATTCTATTGCTTGAAGCTAAGATGCTGATGTTGCTCTATTTGCACGAGAAAGAATTCCAGGTGCTATGCTTTGTGACTGACTGCTTGTGAACGTCTAGTTGGGGGTCACAGTTGCATGTCCTAATGCAGGCGTGGAAACACGGAAGGAGTTAGCTGTACTCCTGTAGGTCTCAAATTCTGAAATTTCCGGGATTTGAGCATGTTCCACCTCAGCAGTCCTATGCCCAGTCCTCTGGTGGCATGGTCTACATACACAGTATCCAACTTCTGTACCATTTTATGCAGTACATCTTGCAAGCAGTACAAACTGTAGGTTGATGGGTTTTGTGGTTGGGTTGGTGTACCAATGCCTCCACTGGAAGTCTTGCCTAGTTACAGGAGATGGGCAGTTCAGGCTCTGAATCTCCTATTACTGGGAGTCTTAGCTAGAGTCACCCTCATAGATTCCTGGGAATTTCCATTATCCTAGATTTCATTTTTTAATGTTATGTTATTTATTTGTTGTTTTATTTATTTACATTTTAAATGTTATCCTCCTGGTTTCCTCTCCAGAAACTCTCTATTCCTTCCCCTCCTCCTGCTTCTATGAGGGTGCTCCCCACCCACTCATCCACCTACTTCTGCCTCACTGCCCTAGCATTCCCTTACACTGGGGCATTGAGCCCTCACAGGATCAAGGGCCTCCCAGCCCACTGATGCCAGATAAGTCCATCCTCCCTTACGTATGCAGCTGGAGCCATGAGTCTCTCCATGTGTACTCTTTGGTTGGTGGTTTAGTCCCTGGGAGTTCTGGGGGGAGGTCTGTTTGGTTGATATTGTTGTTCTTTCGATGGGATTGCAAACCCCTTCAGCTTCAGACCTTCCCCTAACTCCTCCATTGGGATGCCCATGCTCAGTCCAATGGTTGGCTGCAAGCATCCGCATCTGTATTGGTCAGACTCTGGCAGAACGTCTCAGAGGACAGCTATATCAGGCTCCAGTCAGCAAGCACTTCTTGACATTGGCAATAGTGTCTGGGTTTGGTGTCTGCATATGAGATGGATCCCCAGGTGGAG